CTACCAACATGTTTTTATCGAAATCTAATTTAACTAAAAGAAAAAATGTGACCAAATGAATGCAAACGTCAAATGAATTCAAATAATTATAAATAAATAGTACTGTCAAATAAAACATAAGCAAAATACCAAAAGTCCAAGTAGTAGAATAAGAGTTTTTGGTCAACGAAATACATATATATAAATTATTTTAACCAATTTATCTTTAAAAAGTATCTTTACACAAAATTTATTACTAAATTTATAAATTATATGTTTATTTTCGGGCTTTCCGGGCCAGCCCAAACCCAACAGGGCTAAAGTCCAAAAACTCAATAACCCGAATGGGTTTAACCCGAAAAGCCCAATTTTTTTTGGGTTTATATATTCAGACCCGAATCTGGTATTTTTAAAGATTGGACCGGACTGGACTTTGGGCTTTGATCCTAATTTACATGCCTACCTACACAATCGTTTCGCATGTAAATACTATCTTTTTTTTTTCCTCACAAATTGTTACAATTGTGAGGCTTCGTATATCTATATTTCTTGTAATGTTGTTCAAGCACATATAGTGAGATAATACGTATTTCTTGTAATAGATCTTCTTACATGCTAAATACGTTTTCCAAATTTTAGTTTATGTTTTTTATATATTTATAAATACCTAAATTAAAAAGTCTTCCCACCTTTCAAGACTCTGAATTGATGGAAATAGTCACAATTAAGTTTATATAATCATCTAGATTACACCGAGAATTTCACAAGTTAATGTGTTTATATTGTAATGTCATTCCATCGGTTAACTAAATTTAGTGAGTTTTAATATCATGTTTTGGAGTTTATAACATCCTCACAAATTAACAATATGTTAGTGTTTTTAAATCACTATTTTTCTCCCAATATTTTCTTTCTATGGTATTACAAGTTACAAGTATAACCATCGTTATGGTTTCACGTGTTACATTAGAAAATTGTTTATAGTGCTCGTAACTTAATTATGATGACAACGGATAGTTAGATCTATCCATTATTGACATCTAAATGTGTTATTTCTTTAAAAAGTCTCAATCATCTCGCATCTTCAATTCCGGTTGGTTAACAAATAATCAATGATATGATAAATATAGTTCTCCATTGTTATTTTATCGAAAATTCAAATACATCATTTCATATATTCGATTCGATAGAACATAAAATTTTAACAGCGGCATATACAACCTTCCCCAACTATAACAGGATCACATGGCCAAGTGCAATCAGAGCATGGAGCTTTTTGTGGATGCACATTATCATGAAGAGAAATCTTTGGTGTATCAGATGCGAAATACCTTCTTGCTGCAAAGATAGTCTACCTTCCACTATGCTAATATTTGATAATGTTATCATATCTACAATGTTACAAATCAGAGTAAGTGGATTACTTATGGTATATAAATAATTTTGATTTCAAAGAATATTGGTACGATATGGTCAAGAGGCAAACGAAAGAAGCTATGAACAAAATGGGTAAAATTTCACAAGCGAAACAACACTTACGAGATAGGAGAGTCAAGAGGCAAACGAAAGTGAGAATGCTAGAGACTTTCTTCATTTCCACCAGAGAGATAGGGAAAAATGGAGAATAGATTCATCACTGTGGTGCAGTATATATATATATGTTAGATGAATTGGGTTTTTTGGTTA